AGATCAGGTAAAAACATGTTGGTGGCTGTCAAATTTGTTCCACCTTCTCTACTCTTCAATCCAGTTACATTTTGGCGCGATCAATTCCAGTCTTTCTTGTTTTACCTTCTTAACTTTATTCTACGACTGCGGGTTTCCTTAAGTCTGACTTATTGTGTCTTATTTTGAAGGACCAACAAGAAGCTGTTAAAAGAAAAAGGAATGACTTCAATGATAAAAAAAGAAAAATCATGCTATTTATTCAAAATAAACAACCATCAAGATTATTTATTATGAGTACAGGTAATTATTTATTATTTTAGCAACGATGTGTGCATATTATTTTTCAGAAGATTGTTGGGACAGCACAACTTATTACCACCATTTGCCATTATTGTGGCACTCTATGCATGCAGACAGAGCTGATTTAATGTTGCATTTGTCATGAGTCACTGCATTTTAAAGCATTCACTGTATGCCTCACATATTATGTAAGTGATAAATGACTATAAATATTTAAAAAGGAGATGCCTACAATGGATTACCTTTTCATAATAAGAACCATCAATAATTGTGTTTGTTGTTTTTGAAAAAAAGGCGTTTGAAAGCACTTTGGGGATGTAAAGCTCCTCAGCAGAGGTGTCCCAACTGAGTGGCATGCCCAGCTACATGCTATCCTGTTACAGTGTCTGGGTTTGTGTGTGTGTGTGTGAGACAGCTGTCAGCCCCGTAGCATATAGAGGGGTCGCATCATATACTACAAGCCCACTGGGGATGGGCCAGGACGTGTCAAAAAACGCCAACTATTCCCCTCTGTGTAACCTCCTTAAGCCCCCAGGGGTATTATGGTTGTGGGGGCAGGGGTGACAGGGATGGGCCCAGCTGTGGTGTACTCCGGCTAATAGCACTCTGCACAGATGGCGGCCCCTCATCCTCCTGAGAGTGTGTGTCCATGTGCACAGGCCACTTTCCAACAGTATGCGTTACAATCACAAATGGACCTTAAAAATGGAAGTTTGCATGCATGGGGGCAGATGCACAGCTTTAGTGTCCATGATCAATGATGTAATGTAGCTACTTGCTAATAAACCTTTGCTGAGCTTGCACATAAATATCCACTTCAATCTCACAAGTCCTTCTAAATGGGATGTTCTGATTAAATTGGTTTGTTTAGTGGCGGACAGTGGGTTTGATTCAATTCAGGGTTACCTTGATTTATATTGGAAAGAAGAAAAAGGCGTGCTATGTTAAAAGAATAATTGTTATTTTGCTGATGTATGGTTTCTGCTTGTCCTTCCTCTTAGAATATCAGTTTGTATCTGTAAGTGCAACTGAGGAAAAACCTGTTTTCCATCAGGACACACTCGAGTGAAACGCTGTGTTTATGTGGTTTTCTTAGAGATACATTTGATGACATCTTTTACAAAAAGTGTGGTTATAGTGTTGTTTTGTGGGCAAGGTTTGAGTGTGTCAGCATTCTTTGCTTTTGTCTCTTCAGTCTGGTGGCTGCTACTGCTTCCACTGAACTGATGCAAGAACCATATGCAGAAGACCTACTTCCTTTTAGGGATGGGCTCAGATAGCTGCTTTTGTTTTGGATCTGGTTCCCAGTCTACAAAATACCCAGAATTTCGAATAAATAAGACTTTTTTTTTCTGTTTCTCCCCTTATTTTTAATATCATAGTGAAATGGAAAACCTATATGTAGCAGCTTCTTATTTTTATACTGTAGTTAAAGCTAGTGAACATTATAGAACTGCAAAAACTGCTGCGTTTGTGACTGCTCATCCAACAAAAGGTGATTAGACATCTGTCCAGTTGTTGTTATCTTAGCCTGCAGTTACTTGCACTTGTAAGGGCTAGGAGGGATTTCAATATTTGTTTTGGTGTCAATGCTGGATCTGAATCCATCCCTACTTCTTATGTGTCTGGGGATTTTTGCTGCCAAAAACGTACCAAACACCAGCTGTTTCTGTCAGCAAAAGTCAAAGCTTTCATGACCTAGGAAAATTAATATCTGTTACCCAAGATTGTTCTGCAATAGAGCAGCAAAGCGGGTGTTTATTTCTTCAAAAGTTTGAGAGATGTTAAGATATGAAACACTTTTTCTCTAGCTGTTTCTTATTGCCAATATGATAAGGCGATATCGGTGCAATCATCCACCGCTCCTGTATACTATCGGGACACTAAATGAGTTGTGAATACAGCTTTCTGAATGCATAATGTATGTGCCAGTCCATGGTGAGGGCCACACACAAGGCCACTGTGTGGGCTGTTGTGTGGCCCTGTGAAGAGTGCCTGTCACCAGTGACTGAACGTATTCTTCCTCCATTTCTATGGTGCTAAGATGTTCCTTTCCTCCCCTCCTACCATAGTTCCTGTTTCATATGGGGGGTTAAGAGAAGCCAAGGTTAGCTGTGTGCAGACATCATGTGTCAGCTGATTACTGAGCCGCTCCTCAACTCTGCCACACATGACACAACAAAGTATAGCTGAGCGCTTTTGAAAGAGGGCTCCTGTGAATTTGGCCGAGTGGTCTTTTACCGTTAGTTATCCACACTTGGAAAAACGTGGAGGGTTGGAATTTGGATCTTTTGACTTCATCGCTTCATTCACATTTCTGCTACTCTGATCTAGATTAGCTCATCTTTACAGCAGTTTTATCGCAAGTTATTGAAGTTGAACATTAGAAAGAGTTTAATCAGCATGTTGCGTTCAGTGACCCCTTTACGTACATGACCTTTGAAAGAAAGTGCCGAAATGCAGAAAGTCACGATTTACAGCTTTTATGAGTCAACATAATTGTGATCCATTTAATCATTCAAATCTTTCTCTTCTGAAGTTGTTTTTGTTACTTGGCAAAGCTTGATTTGGCTTTATATTGTAAATCAATTTAAATGTATTCCATTTGAAATCAAACCAAGTGCTCATTAGTGCAGACGAATTACCATTTGGCGTTCAAACACAAAATTCCCTACTTAAATTTTGTATCATTCTGCATTTTATTAAGCTGTAAAACCTAATTATATTTAATCAAGATGTTATGTTTGTTTTATAAGCTCATAATCATAACTGTGGCGCTTTATCGGAGACTACAAAACCTTGATTTCTGTTCACATTCAAGTATTTTTTATCAATGCATATGTCACAGAGTGTCAGATTTAACATAACAACATGGGTGCCTGATGAGAGCATGGACTCCAGCTGTGCATCCATCCAGTTATGTTCCTCTCTGTGGGGGCACATTTAGTGATCAAGCTTTCTGACTGAGACAGGTTTCTTATTACACTTAACAAAATATCTCCCCCCCCCCCCCAAAAAGCAAATTCTTGCTTGATGTGTTTCAAAATGCGTGTTTTTTCCATTATGCTTCATTTTTTAAGTTATCCATTGTCTCTCAAAAGTTGTAGTTTTCAGTAAAGTCAACTTTATTTCTCTCTGTGTATGTGGTACGAACAGGGGGACCGAAATGCCGTTTCTCACCGTCCCAAAGATTGAAATTATATAAATATATTGTATGTATATATTCATATACTCAAAATGAAAAAGGCACAACAATTAATATATAAAAATAGCAGTCTTGCCACACTAATTTTACTTGACACGATTGCTCTTGTTATTAATGAAACTGATCTATTAGTAACTACTGTCTATCAAATTGTAATGATTGTATATATTACTTCATGAATTTTACTTAACAGACTGTACGTGGTTTGTCATGCTTTGCTTTCTGTTATTTTGTTCATGTATGTCTGTAAGACGTTGCTTTTGTCGGGACCCCCTTGAAAACAAAATGGTGCATCTCAAGGGGTTTATCCTAATAAATACATTTCTATAAGTCTAGTATGTTAGACTAAAACTGATGAATATATGAAAATGAATGAATATATGGCAACGGAACAAACCTATACAAGTAGGGCAAATAACTTAGTTCAAATGTCTGAAGTTTTGGGGATCACCTCAGCCCACAGTTTGTGGATCCAGAGGCTGCTGTCCCCGGCTGGAAGTCAGCGATCTTCCCACCCCGGAGTAAACACGGCTCTATAAATAGAAGTCAGGCAGAATCAGGCCAACAGCAGAATGACAGGCATCCATACTACTGACCACAGGCAGCAGGGGCCCAGACACTGGTAGCCCCGCCCTGCTAACCCTGCATCCCAGAGTCTAAGCCTGTGGGTTTAGCACAGGGGCCCCCAGTGAGATCCGTCCTATCTGTCATATTCGCTTGGCAAAACCGGCCGATACATGTTTCCCCTCATTACCTAGTTTCAGGCCCTTGGTATGTCATCTGAAGCTCGTATGCTGCTATTGCAAGAGGGAGAAGGTCATGCTATGAAAGGCTACTCGAGCTGTTCAGATACTTTGGATACTTGTTTGTAAATACTTTGCATAGAGACTGGAGCAATATAGAGGAGAACGCTATTCCTCATATTTTCAGGATTTGTTTAATTGATGTTTGATGTTTGATGTTCTGCAAGAGCTGAAGCAATTGCTTATTTAATATTTTACTCATAAGTGTACTTTTAGTTTAGATCCTTTGAAAAATGCTGAATATTGTCTGGTTGAGGCTTCTCAATAGCCTAATGATATCATTTGCTGATTTTCGATTATATTTACTATTTATAAACCTATTATTCCTTTGTATTTTGGATCAAGCAAGACATAAGCATGGATTGGGGAAGATTTTGACAGAGAAAATGATAATGATGGTTGCAGCCCCTGGTGTGAGCGTTTGGCGTCTCTAGTTTATGTGAAATGACACACAGTATATTGTGGATGTCAGGGCATTAGCCATCTAGGCACTTTCCATTATCAGCTGCTGACATTATTGAGAACGGGACTTGAGTGCGCAAACGCCACTTACATTCATTTCATTTCTTACTCTGCTGTCAAACAATATCCTCATCTCTGCGTACGCATCAGAGAGGAGCTTCTCGTTACACTGGGCTGCAAAGCGACAGTACATCAATTCATAACAAGTCAGCTGACTCATCCCTTTTTCCCTCTTTCCCCCACTCCAGCGTGATTAACCATGACAACTGAATCAGGCGCAGACTCGGAGGCCAAGCAGCCGCAGGAGAACAAGGAGAAGGGGAAAGCCAAAGCAGCCGCCGAACCTGTCGAGCCTGAGAACCAATCAGAGCTCCCCGCTGCCGCCGGACACAGCACCCCCGCCCGGAAAGAGCAGGTCAGCCTTTAAAATATCTGAGCCTACAGAAGGAGGATAGAGCCAGACAGTGGCCTCTGACACTAGGGCATGTTTTCATTATGTGGTGCAATATTCAAATCGCAGGAAGCACAATAATTGTTAAAGGCTGTATACTGTATGTGTTAAAATACCATTATGAATGAATTGTATTCTACAGAATTATCCCGGCCTACATCCTTTTTTTTTTTTTTAAAGAAATACAGTACCAGTCAAACGTTTGGACACACCTTCTTACTCAATGTGTTTTGTTTGAAAGAACACATATGGAATTATCTAGTTAACAAAAAAGTGTTAAAAATCCACGTGTTCTTTTATAGTTTTGAGGTCTTCAGTATAAATCTACAATGTAGAAAAAATTCTAATAATAAAAAAATTCGAATGAGGAGGTGTGTCCAAACTTTTGACTGGTAGTGTATATTCAAACATATTTGTTTGGCACAGATCCTCTTCAAAAATCAAACCATGATAGTTTCAATTTCTTTTTAATTATTATAATAATAATAATAATAATGCAACAAAAATGTAAATTCCTCTATTGTTGTATGTCGTACTGAATCACAATATCAGTAGAAATATCACAATTAGTTATCTTTTCTTAATCTTGCAGTACTTATTGACAGATACAATCCAATGCAACACTTTCAACACACATATTTTATCGTTCATTTCTTTCTTTTAAAGCACTTTTGTAATGTTAATTCAGGGTTCCTTATGTACAGCTTCCTTCAGATTAGCTTGAATTAGAGAAAACATACAGGCCATTCTTCCCACTCCTGAATGAATTGTGTCTTTGTGTGAAAAATGGAAATGAACAAAATAAATATGGACTACATGACCTCAGTGTTCACAATGACGTTTACTCAGCAGATGCATCTATTGTTGAGTGAACTCGTCTTTCTCTCAGTACTCCGTGCTGTTGTTCAGTTAATGGGTTGGAAAAAAGTGTTAGGTCAGCTGATTGAACAGATTCACTTTCATGCTGCGGGAGGAACGAGTAAACTACTGGAGTCACTGAAGAAAAACCTCAGGGCTTTTAGTGGTTCATGGTTTGAGATGTAGGGCTATGAAATGAGCATTTAGTTTTTCTGAATGTTTAAGACCACTCATCATCGATTGTATATCTGCAAACCAAATGTCTGCAAAGCTTAATTGTTCTGGGAGAGCCTGGCATGGTTAACTATTTTTAAATAGTTTGAGAGTAAAAATATGTCCAAGTCATTATTGTTTACTGTTTTTAAAGCAATGCCGTTTTCCCAACACACACATTGCACACAAACTGAATTTTGTGATTATTTGTAATTCTACTTAAAACATGATCCTCCTGCAGGCTGGTGGACTATAGTATATATTTTAATATTATTTTATAGATAAGTTAAAAAAAAAACCTTTGAAATGCAAAGGTCTGTGTTACAAGGAGGCGTGTCGACTACAGCCTGTCCATGTTAACTTTCAGACATCCCAAGCAGACACTGATGTAATCTGAACACAAAGTGCTTTGCCCGTACAACGTTCAGGGCTCACTATCTAATCTCTCTGAAGAATGAACCTCCAGGGCTTCAAAACTGCATGGGGACTGTCTACAACTTGAGGCAGAATCATGCTTTTTACATTATTTACTACAGTGTTAAAAGCTGTGTATGCAAACGTATTGGCCTGCAATTTTCTGGCAGTTACAAAAAGGGTAATAATAATAATAATTCATTTTATTTATATAGCGCTTTTCACAACTCAAAGACGCTTTACAGTATGAGGGAGGGTAGTCAAATAAGGACAGGCAAACAAGTAAGTAAGTATGGTACTGATTTAGTTCAAGGTGCAGTTTTATCCCAAACAAATCTCTTCATATATTGAAGTTTGAATGACCTGCACTAGCTTGAAGCTTCTCTATAACCCAGAGAGTACGAAATAACTTTAATTTCCATATGTTTGTAAGAAATGTATCTGTTCAGTATATGAAGGTATTCAGACCGCATGGAGTAGTAGGGATTAGCTCCGAGTTGTTCTATTTTATCATTTTTACAATGGCGTGACATCTTAAGCATGTATAAACTAGATCAACATTGGATTCAGTTGAAACTTGATTTCTATCATTTACAGCCCAATATCAAAAGGTCAAAAGTCACGCCAGCCAGATGTGGAAACAAGTTTTTAAGAGATTTTGCCTTATGATCTTTCACATGTTTGAGCTCATAACCCCTCAGACCCAGCAGTGTGGCTCTCACCACGAGGTGCAAAAAACATGGAATTGTTTAATGAAGAGGAGAAATAGAGCATGAGTTACTCGTGAATCATGATGGGCTGTAATGAGAGAGCATCAGACGCAGGGCGGGGTGATGGATAGATTAATTATCACTTTTGCTGAGTAATGCAACACAAACATACATATATTAAAATGCTGGTAGTTATTAAAGCTTCACATGACTTGAGCTGTCTGATAAAGAAGATATATTACCTTGAGATTATAGAAATGTGTGCTGTACTGGGGTAACTTACTTATTAATGGTCCTGGTTGTATCGGGTCACAACTGCCTTAGGACTTTATTAGATTCACAGGATTTTTTGCAGGACTGTGATTAAGTATAGGATTTTTTTTTCAATGTTTCTTTAATTGGATAAGGCCAAAAACAGACATTCCTGTCTAGTTGTTTTATTTACAAATATCCTGTTTGATTTAGTTTTATGAACATTTATTTTATTAAGATACAAGTTGATGTTGTGATTTGAAATAACCCATATATTTTATCAATATGACCCACTATGATGCATGACTATAGAATGGTATCTTAAGGGGGTCACATTTCTTGTCGATTCATATTTGTTATATAGTGTACCCCAAAGTCATGACACCAGCATGGCACACAAGAAAGCACTGTTGCTTGTATTTGAAAGAGAGACAAAGGAAAGAAGGGGGGACATTTCTTCTGTATTTTGAACATAAGAGAGTCGGGAAATAAAGCAATAACTCGGTCTCAATGCTACACCTTCTACCTGCTGAGCTGCCAGGGCCCTCGGGTGTTTTCATTATGTGCATCTATACTTTTTACTTTTCACATGTATCCACATTAAACACCCTCACAGCGTCACACTGAGGATGATGCTTGGCATTGTCCGAGATGTGTGAACAAGACTGAGAGAAATCACAGCAAGCTGACACAACACTGTCTGTGTTTCCTGTGAGACACTAGCTCTAACTGAGATTTCTCTAGTCCAACAGGTTGCACACATACAAAAGTAGTAAAACTGTCAACTCTGTTCATATCTGAGGGGATAATTTCTTATTTGTCACAAATCATCTGCACATTTTTTAATACATCCTTTGGTATTTAATGCAAATTCTAGCTACATTAAATCTAAAATTATACTGTCACTTTAGTTCTCAGTTTCTAAGGTCCTGTAATTTTTTTCTGAACGGATCAAAAGGGAGAGTTGGTCTGCATGAGCTACCTAGATTAGGTACAATGTGATGGATATAGCCTGGAAACAAGATAAGAAATGTCAAATTTACAAATGAAAATGCCAGGGGATCGAATCCACTTTGTGTAGGGGGAAGAATGAAAAACGTCTTGAAGCTGAAGATCTCTTTTCTTGCATGAAGTCAGTCGGGAAGGGCTTTGTTTTTCAGCCAAGTGGAAAATTGGATTTTCTCAGTTTAAGACAAAATGGCAGCACACCTCCAGCTCCTCTCAGTGGGACCCGATTAAATTCACTCAGGGTCCCAGTCTCTATATTTAGGGTCTGGACATGTGACTGAACTGCTGGTTTTGTCTCAGACAACTACACTAAGTAGTCAGAGGCAGTTGGGGGAAAAATAAATGTTGAACAGGAGGTATTTATCATTTCTGCTCTGTGAACACTTTCAACCTAAAAGCAGCATATTTTCAATCATGCAACAAAAATACATGCAGAGAAAATGTCCAGTGCAATAATCATGTGGAAAAGTGTAATAATGTAATAATGTAAATGCATCACTCGACTAATAGCTGTTAATGGTTCCTCTCAGGAGACGCAGGAGGACGACCAGGTGTCCCATCAGTCGTCCACCAGCCGTCTGTCCAGGTCTCCTCTGAAAGGGGTGAAGATCATGCAGTGCAAAGTCACCATGCTGGACGGCTCCGACTTCTCAGTCAACGTGGAGGTGAGAGGAAAAAAAACATATTTGTTTTATTGAATGATAAGTAGTACAAACCGTGTACAACTTCACACGCATATATTGATTCATTTAGGTATACACACATTTTAACAAACATCAAACACACTTATTTAAATACATGAGCTAAAGACTCCATAACTGCTGCGAAACTTACTTGATATGTACTTTGTTTATATTTTGGATTTATTCATTTATTTGGGTTATTTATTTCAGAGTTCTCTTTTTAAGATTTAAGATGAATATTTTGCAAGAGGGTCGTAAATGCTTAAAGGGAAATATGGCAATAGTACATCTGTGTAAACTGATATACAAACGCATTTAACTTGAGATTAAAGCTGCAAATGTTCTTTATCGCCAACTACTTGGATAACTCATGAATCATTATTACATTATCTATGTAATGTCTTTTATCTGGACCCTGAGTCTGTAATAAAGTTTCATCAATCAGAGTATTTTCAAGAATAAAAGGTTACATCTTATTAAATGTTTCTTTGGTCCTTCATGACATTAAACTGAATATCTTTGATTTATGCACAAAAACGACCATTGAAGAGTTCATTTTGGGCTTTGGGAAACACTAATTGACATTTTCTCACCATTTTAGAAAATGTTATACACCAAACAACACTTTTTTTAATCGAGACAGTACTTGACAGGTGAATCGACAGTTAAATGAATCATTTGTTGCAGCGATACTTGTGAGAAATTAAATGTTATGCAGCATACTTGGCCTTTCCAATTGCCTTGCAGGAATGCCGCAGCACAGCATCAGTCTGTAAATTAGACTTTGAATGAAATGTTAATGATTGTTTCATCAATGCTAATTTAAAATACATTATTCTTTCATTACCTGGAATGTTGGTAGTTCGATCCAGTCCATTTAACCGCGACCATTAGGGGGAGCTTTGTGTAATGGGTTAGAAGAATGCTTCAGATATAATGTGCAAAGGGCAAATTCACCTTTTTTTTCAGGATGAAACTAATTTAAATTGGCCTCTTTATTCACTTTTCTAATTTCAGTGGCAGTTTGGCTTGTTTATTCAGAAGTCTGAAGGCATACTTATTTACTTATTATGCTCCGTGACCACAAAGTTAAAGCATAAGCACCTTTCTTTGCAAAAAGGGGGAAGGGGTCCATGGAAAAGTACATTTTCGATAAACACTAAAAAATATTAAAATGATGTTTGACAGATGACCAGAACTTTTGATTTCAGCATTAAATATGAATGTATCCCACAAAGAGCCTGCCATAAGGAGCTAAACAGATAACAGCGTTCTCCTTCTGCTGCTCGGATTACTTCTGTGTGTATCAGTCTTATGATACCAGGCCTGTTGAATTCAAATATCATACAAATCTGCTATTTTGACCGCCCTTCTTAGAAGTCGGGATTTCATGGATTTCACTGCAAATTTGCTTTGTGCCAAATTGCTTTGTGGGATTTGTTTTTCCTCCAAAGCTTCTCTGTGTAGTCTTGAGAGAAAAAAAGTATTCCTATAACGTTTCTTAAATGTTTAGTTCGTACTTCAAAGCTCATCCGCAATCCTGAAATAAACCCAATGAGGAAAAGGAATAATCAGTGGAAAAACATGTGTCTTTGTGTTGTAAATGTGTAGCGCCCAACTCCGCCACCCCAGCTGTGTGGCTTTCATCCTAAAGTGGTCAAAATTAAATATGGAAATGGGGTGAGTTGCAGAAAGAAGAATTGGAGCATGTTAATCACGATGTGTTAAAATCAGAGAGGAGGGTCAAGTGTTTGATGGATTTGTTATTTTCTGGCCAATGTAACAAAAGATCAAGATAGGTACGAATGTCACTAGAGAGTGGCAGCCAGTGTGCTATTTTAAAGGGTTCTTATTGTGCTTTTTGGGGTGCTCTATAGGTTTCTGTGCATGTAAATGGTCTGGAAGGCTGAAATCACAGAGTTTCTTTACTCCCACACACTCCCCCCTTGCCTGGAATGCCTCCTTTGGACTTTTTGGTTTACTTCTGTAACAGTCACATCACTATGTAACACTCACACCTCTGTTGGCTAGCGCTCTAACGAATTGTACATCATAGCCATCTCTATGTGGTTGACCAATCGCAACAGAGCCGGCCAGCTAACCAATCAGAGCAGACTGGGCTCTGGTTTCAGACGGAGGCTGAAAAGAGGTGCTGCAGCACAGGCAGTATGAGAAAAATAGCTTTTTGAAAATTAAAGCATGTAATCATTCCACAGTAGAGGCACAGATACAAAATATGAACCTGAACATTAGCATAATAGGGCCCGTTTAATAATCCATCTCATAAGGATTTGGTGGTTTTATTTTATGTTAAGTAGCTTAATAATTATAGTTTTTTCCCCCAAAAAAACAGCACTGTGAGCCTTGAGTGGAACAAACACTCTGATTATCTATAGTTTTTACCGTCGAGGATTCCAAAATATCCCCGCGCATGCACGTCAAGGAAAATGTATTTTTGTTGTAAATGAGTGCCACAGCTCCCCAACATAAAAGCTTCTTTCTGCTTTCAACAGTCATTCTTTCTCTAGAACTTTATGAATTATGAATTATGAAGGAATAAATCTGAATAGTGACCTTATTTGACATTTAACTTTGACATATTTCCCTCGTTTGCAATAGAAAGTTGAGACACTTCTCAAAGTATTAGTTTCAACTTGTATGCACACAGAAAGCAAGGAGTACCAGACCCTCCTCCTGAAATCTCTTCGGAGCAGATTCCTCCCCACCAGGGGTTTGGACGGGGGGGGGGGGGGGGGGGGATTAGTCCCAGACAGTTCAGAATGTGAAATGGGAGCATTTGTTGGAGGGAATCAGTGTCATTGACTCTCTGTGTGTTGGCATGCCGATTGGGGTCCCGCTGTGGCAGAGTCTGGAACTAGGGGTCACTTTGGACTTATTGCCATTCAAATGGCCAAAAGGTGGGGAACTCATGAATCTAAAAGATGTGAAATAACTACACATAAAGATTCAAGCAATAGGCATTTACAACAGCAATAATAATTGTTCTGTATACTTGTTTATAACTCATTATTTGGTGTCACAACGAATTGTATATTATAGTTTGCAGTCATTTTCAGTTTGATCCATACAGTGATCCATCTTTTTAGTTTTTTACAGTTTGATTTTACACAACCAAAGTACAACAAGATAATGTGTGTTTTCTGAGTTTGAGAGGAATAAAATAAAGCAGGAAGTGTACAAAAGCATATTTAGGCTAAGCTAGGAAAGACTTTGCTTGGCAGTGATTTGTTTTCATTACCAATATTTCATATATTTACTTACAATATGTGTGTTTATCTGAATGTAAAATGAAATAAAAAAACGATTCAAATCACTCACTTAAAACCTGCTTTCACTTGAAAATGCACATTATATATTAATATATTTTTTATGTATTACGTTTTAAGAGATTGACTTGTAAAAATAAATAGAAAGATTAATTCATCAAAAGCTTTTAGTCCCCGTCAAGCTCCAAAAACTCTTCATCTGCAATTGAACAAATTAAATACCATGTATTGATTGTGGCTTTTTAATGGTATAACAGCAGAAAGCAACTTAATCTGGTTAGTAAAAAGTATTTTTTATTAAATTACGTTATTAAATATAATTAGTTAAACAACTTTTTCATTTATTTTTCATTTGAAAGTGAGATTCCTGAATTATCTAAATAAATAGTTTCAATTATCCTGGACAGAAAATCTACAATCTGCCTTTTTGAACACAACAACCTTCCTAATTATCATTGAATCTATTAGGGGCCCCTTTTCAAATCCACATCACACACCCCAAGGGGTTTATCCTTATAACTTTAACTAAAGTGACTAATCTCTGGTAATGTGACCCTCTCTTACAAATCACACTGCAGACATCCAAACATCGGCTTTACACTAAATAAGTGTGTCTAATAGCAATTGAATGAGACAATTGAATCCATGTCCCATCTGTTTGTCCTGTAATCTCCTCTGGCACAGATCTCACCCTCACACTGACACCATGACATGAGGAATACTGAGCGTGGATTACAGTGCTTTTAGGCTGCAGCCACACCAGGACGTTAACGCAAATGGACCTAAATCGATATCAAAAAAGTCTTCCGTCCACACGCAACAGGCACCAGAAACATGTCCGTTCACATGAGACCGCTGGAGACGCTGTAGTACATATGCCGGGCCTGTAAGTGGCGCTGTACTCCTGCCACAAAAGCAGCGAAGAAGACTTCCCACGCATGGTTGCCATGGTTGCCCTTCTGTTTATTCTCCGCTGTGGACGCTCTGGCTCTTTTTCTCCTTCCTCGAGGCAAGCGTTTGCTCCTGCTGTAGATATCTTCGGTTTGCCACCAGCAGATGACAAACACCCACCTCTCCGCCTCTTCCAAGGAACAAGGGGACCGTGCGGCAGATTTTCAGTTAGATTTTTTTTCGCCGGTCAACATGTCCGTTAAAGTTTAAATCTTCCGGACAAAATTTGAAAAGTGCCGGTCAGAGGTCGTCTTTGTTATTTATTGAGCTTTAAAACAAATTGATAACGACTATATAATAATATAAGAATAAAATACAGAGCCTCTCTTTTCCTCCCCCTCTCCTGACAGCCCAGCAGCTGATCTCTGAGCAGGAGAGGTGGGGAGAGGCGGGGCTATGGCGTCATCGTTATCAGGAAATGATCGTATAGGCGTAAACACGAAGCCGTTTGCCCCCCCAGACCGTTTCATTTGCAGATCTACCCAACCTTGGCACCCGTTATCGTTTTATGCGTTTCCATGTCCATGCCTCGTGTGGCCGAACCGTCTATATCAGTGGTTCTCAAATGGGGGTACGCGGACCCCTAGGGGTACGTTGGAGTACTGCAGGGGGTACGTGAGATTTATTTTATGTTAATGAAAAAAAACAACATAAGTAATGTATTTAAACAAACTACTAATAGTAGATTAACAACTTTATTCAAAGGTTTACAGTAAGTCTGGATAATAAAATGGGAAAACGTGG